AGATAAAAGCCCAAAAATACACACACACATTTTGAAAACTTACGGCACGACTCATAAGCTGGATGTTGCTCTCTAATGTATGGTACAACAGATTGGAATAAAAATATCACCATGCCAGCTTGTAGCATATGGTTGTTTGTAGGCCAGATTATCAGAAACAGAACTATGTTTTGCCCAGGAAATGGAACAAACAATCTGGGAGAACTTTGAAACACAATTTTCTACAAATTCCCAATGGCCCCGTCAACATAGCTCTCTGATTGCTTTTTCTTTTAGAAGAAGGAGACTGAGAGAGGAGCCATTTTTCTCCCACCAGATCATCTCTTGGCAATTTTAGTTACCACTATGTTTCACCTTTTAGTGCATATTAAGCAATTAATATATATTATACATGTATTAATATATAACTGTGTAATAGAATAATGCAATCCTAAGTTGCATTAACAGAGGGATACAATCGAGGTCAAGTGAGATACTAATACCACTCTATAAAGCCTTACTAAGACCACACCTAGAGTACTGCATCCAGTTTTGTTCACCACATTACAAAAAAGATGTTGAGACACTAGAAAAAGTACAGAGGAGCAACCAGGATGATTCGGGGACTGGAGACTAAAATATATGAAGAACGGTTACAGGAACTGGGCATGGCTAGTCTAGTGAAGAGAAGGACCAGGGGAGGCATGATAGCAGTCTTACAGTATTTGAGGGGCTGCCACAGAGAGGAAGGGGTCAAGCTATTTTCTAAAGCGCCTGTAGGCCAGACAAGGAATAATGGATGGAAACTGAACAAGGAGAGATTTAACCTGGAAATAAGGAGAAATTTTCTGACAGTGAGAACAATTAACCAATGGAACATCTTGCCCTGAGAAGTTATGGGAGCGCCATCACTTGAGACTTTCAAGAAGAGATCGGACTGCCATCTATCAGAAATGGTATAGGGTCTCCCGCTTGGGTCGGGGGTTGGACTAGATGACCTACAAGGTCCCTTCCAACTCTGATTATCTGTTATCTGTTAGGGGACACCAGTTACCAATATAAATATATAAAGCATTCTTCTTGTATAAATTGTTTGGATTCAACCAAATCTCTTTTTTCTCCCTTTCTCCCCCTCCCTATTTCTGCCTCTTCTCTTTCCATTTCTAATTTCAGGATTTTTATACTGCTTTCCTGTGATTTCTCTTCTTGGTCTTTTCCCACAAATCAACACATTCTGTATATATATCCTTGAACAGATAGATATACTGGCTTTTGGTGGTTCTGGTAAGTACTATATATGGTTATATGTAATATCCAGAATTGGTTGAATTTAGGTGAGAGTGTTTATAGTTGCAATTTCTGTTCATTTCAGACTGATAATCTGCCTCTGCTAAATTTTGTCTTGTCCACATACTTATTCAAAGCATGACAGTGGCCTTATCTTTTGCATTTGTTCACTTTAGGTGACAGACTGATGTTTCTTGGGGAAAACGATGTGGACTACAGCAAACAGTTCTGTAGCAATACAATTGGAGCCATGCTTCTTTCAGAAATTGATCATATGCAATGTCTTGCTAGTAGTTCATCTCTATTAAATGCATAGAGTAAATCATTTACTCTATGCATTTAAATCCCTTTTTTATTCTAGCATTAGTGAGTTTTGGACCATAATGATGGTTATCTCAGCCCAGGACCTTTTTGCTGTCTTAGGAAGCTGCATGACCTAAGAGTTGTGCTTTGGCAGCCTCAGAATGCGTGAGAGTCCATTGTTCTTCCAAAATGTACATTAACTTTTCAAAACATAGACACAGAATTAGAATTTAAAATACAGAAAACTGAATTGCCCAGCAGTGTTGGGGCTGGCAGCTAGACTGCTTTCTAATGATGGAAAACATAAGATAGGTAATAGTTACTAGTGGCCTTAAGCTCCTTGGAACATAAAGAAGTGCAGCAATTGGGTAACTGAGATATGAGGGCTAACTTCCAGTAGCACACCCTTACTCCCAGCCCCAAAACACCAAAACTTGCATGATATCACATCTGCAAATGCCACCGCTTTATATTTGCATTGCAATGTCATATTCAAGTATTCAAGGATGGAGCTTACATTGTGATGGATATTACTCCATCTCTTTCTAATCACCTGTAAAAGCCTACCATGATGCCATGTACATTATGATTCTTGATTCTTAACGAATGTACCTTTCTTTATGTATACTGAGAGTATTTACACCAAGACAAATTCCTTGCATGTCCAATCACATTTGGCCAATAAAAGTATTCTATTCTATTCCATTTGTCACTAACTTTTCCTACCCATTTATCAATGGAGAATACGAAATTGCATTTTCTCCCACTGTTAGGTTGTGATCATTGCAATGGTAGCCTGTAATTAATTGCAGACTGTTGCTATGCTTGCCCCGCGAATAGTGAGAGGCCTTTACAAAACATTGAGGCCAACGTCATGGCACTTGGTGGGAATTTGAACTTCCCAAAATACATGAGACCAGTTCAAAATGTAGTTTCAAATCAAGAACATCTGCAATTTAGGCCACCAATGTTTAGAATAAAATGTTCTGTTTTAGTAAACTTTATTTTCCCAAAATTCTTGCATTCGGCATTCAATTACATTGAGCAAGTGGATACGTTTTCTGCTTGCTGATTTTTCTGTAGCACGTGGCAGCTGTCAAGCTAGGGTTCCTTGAAGTTAACCAGTTCCTCCGGTGCTGTGTATTATTTTACTGGGTCTCAACGCAAATGTAGCATTTGTGGTCTTGTTTAACTTGTGTTTTGAGGCTGGTGTTCTTGTATTTCTGCATCCAGTAATTTATCTGATTGAATGACCTAATTTGTTTTAACACATCTGGGCAAAATGGCCTTTCTGATAATAGGACGCTTTTACCATTTTGATTTATCTTACAGTAGTTATAACCAGATACAAAGTAGTGAATGTTGGTTTCTGTATTTCAGCTGTTGTGGGAATGTATTCTTCACTCTACAGTATTTCTCGAAGCTTTATTGCTATAATTATCCTGTACACATTCTGCTTCAATGCAGTTAAGGTAAGGAGGAGTGATTCTGATAGCAAAATGGGCTAGAATTCCTCATGACTATGATATTGTTTTCTCCTTTTTTTCCACATCTAGGAGCTATATGAATGTAAATCTAATTTGCATTATTTTTCCATCCTTATAAAGGGAAGGTCTGCCCTGGAGAATGGGGAGGAAGTAGATAGCAGCATTTGTTGTAAACATCATGTTTTATGCATAATTTTAGCTGCAAATAAGAAATACATTGATTGTAAGAAATATATTTTGAGACTTTGGAAAAAGTTCAAAACAAGAAAAGAAGTATATAAATCCAAATAAAGCAATCCTTCAGACTGATAAAATCTCATAAGAGGTGTAATCCAAAGCATGGGAGGAAAAGCTAAGTCTTCAAATGTTCTTTATTTTATTTATTAATCAAGTTTGTGTAGCTGCCCATGTCACTAAAATTTACTCTGGGTGGTGCACAACCTTGGATGAAAACCACAAATATTAAAAATGGCAAATATGCAAATGTAAAAATCTACCTTAAGTAGTAGATAGTATTTTAAAAACCCCCACAATACAAAGCCCCAAGTGAAGAGTGGATAGCTCAACAATGGAGCTATCTATTCATATCTCTGATTCCCTGGGAAGCCCACACCTGATGACATAGCCAGGTCTTGAGAGCCTTCCAGAATGTCAAAAGTGATGGAGATAATGTAATTGGATGGGGAAGGGGGGAAATGTTCTATAAGGTGGGCACCACAGCAGAGAAGACACATACTCTGGGACCCACCAAATGTAGATCCCTAGCTGACGGTATCCACAGCATGCCTTTTCTGCCCAATCTAATGGGGGTACTGAAATAAATATTATCATCATCTTAAACATCATCCGTGTGGGAGCCATACAGATTGCCGCTTTTGCTGTGTATAAGCTAGGCTTTGGTTTCTTGTTAAATTAGGGGAAAGGAAAATGAAATGAGGGAAAAGCTGGATTTTTTTTAATGAGATTACTGATGGGAGAATGTGAATTTAATGGAAACTCATTTATATCGTTGGTGTTCTCTGTGGGTTAATTGAACGTTCAAAGTCTCTTTGGTAAATAGTATTAAGGGCAATCCTTTTAAACATGTCCTGTCATTTGCACATCTTTCTGCAGGTTAATAAGCTAAATTACAGCAGGCAGGTGGTTTTGTAGATAAGCAATCTTGCCCACAGCCTGAGCTTCCTAGAGCTTTGAAATATGCTTATAATGCTGCTACCCTGAAGTTAGAGAACGCGGTAAAAGATTTACAAGATATTTGCTGCAAATTACATACATCAACTGCAGACCTTCCATTTACTCAGGGAAATTACATATAATTTGAGTTTTTATTGCTTTTTTTATTTTTGAAGATATTTGTAAGCAGAATAATTATTTGTTCCAAAATGGTACTATGTAGTTCATATTTTGATCCCAGTGTCCTCTAATGTTGGCATTTACATACTTCTTTATACAAGACATCTGCCTGATTTTTAAAAGCATGACTTTAAATATTGAATGGGTGGATGGATTGCAATTCAGGATTTACTTGCCATTAACTGATTCATCGTCAGTTTCAGACAGTGCTAAAGCTGCCTGTATCCCTTCCAGACACAAGAAAGAACTCAAATGTTTTTTTCTTTCCAGGGATGTATTCACATTCAAGACCTGTGTTTCTGAACCATGGCCAACTTTAATATCTCTGGATTTCAATTCCCAGAGTTCTTCAGCCAGCAATTCTGTGGAATTCTGGGACTTGAAGTCCACTAGTCTTAAAGTTGCTAAGGTTGAGAAACGCTAATATAGACTAATATATTGGGTTAGTATGTGAATTCAACCCTTATGGTTTGTAAGTCGTGGCTTATGAATTAATGTGATAGGCAAAGTCAGCAGCTATGGGTTCTTCATGAAGCATGGTTACCTTCTACAAAATAGGAAATCTAACATTTTACCAGTATTTCTTGTTTTCGGGGGGCTGTGGAACTTTCATTTTTCTTCAACCATAACAATCCTACTTTTAATACTTATACAAAAATTGTATGTTTTTCTCCTCTGGATTGGAATTAAATTACTCTGTTGGATTTTAACAATTATGCTGTTGGATTTTGTTGAGTAGTCACAGTGCTTCAAAATAAAAAATAAAAAATTAGCGGGCGAGGACATCCTGAGGCAGTACATTGTCTATTCTTGCTAAAATCGAATGCAGATGTCATTGAAAAATGAAAATGTCAAAAGAAAGTATGATAACTATAGAAGACAGAATTATAACATTTTCCATTCAAAATCCAGCTCCCTGTGAAATGTAAAAACCGAATAGTTTTAAAGCTGGCCAAGTAAATCAAGCTGAAATGCTGGCCAGGAATATGTTGGGTTTTAAAATCAGAAATAGGAAGTTTGGAGAGAACTTACTTTTATATTGCTCATTAATTGACTAATGAGATATTGGTTGATACTCAACTTTCTGAAATAATAGGTGATGAGTTTTTGAAAGAAGAAAGGAGAGAGGATTGTTGTTTTTGCTATTTTTCTCATCACAATTTCCATACAATTCTGTTCTAGAACACCTTGCAAGTTCTGCCTTAAATTCAACCTGTTCATTTTTATTTTGCACTTTCAAATTCATAACTATGTTTTTTTGAAGAGCAAGGAAAAGTGCCTTTCATTTAAAATTATATTTATGTAATTTAAAAATTAATGCCATTTGAATTTATTTATTTATTTAAATATAGTTTATGTACCGTATTTATCGGCGTATAACACGCACTTTTTCCCCCTGAAAATAGGGGGCAAATGATGTATGCGTGTTATACGCCGATGTCCCGTTCCCAATAGTGCCTAGCGGCGGCGCAGCGTCGTGACGCTGCGCCCGCCGCATATTAAAGGGAATGCGTGTTATACGCCTGTGCGTGTTATACGCCGATAAATACGGTAATTTAAAAATGTATGTAGGAGAAAAAAAACAGCCTCTCATGATTTTCCTTGCTTCTTTTACTTAATTGCCCATTTTAGGGGTATTGTGGTTTGCATAATTAGATACCTTGAAATATCATAACTTCATTAGCCTGATGAAATGTAATATAGCTTATTTAATATATGACACAGCCATTTAATTATTGTGAATTCCAGCATGTTAACGATATTTAACTTATTTCCGCAGAAACTTGCAAACTTGCAAACAATGTAAAGACATCCATATTCCTTCCATCTCTGTCTCCTCTTTATCTATAGGAACCATGGGATGCTGAACACATTCCCGCACTGTTCTCTGCCTTTTGTGGGCTTTTAGTGGCACTTTCTTATCATTTGAGCAGGCAGAGCAGTGATCCATCTGTCTTAGTGTAAGTTATCACTGATGCTTTTGTATGGCTTAAACTATAGAACTATGTAATAAGATAGTTGGATTTGTTATACAAATGTATTTGGTTGCCCATCTTAATCAAATGACTTGGAGCAGGTAATAAACATAAAAAGAGAACATCCATATAAAGGAAACATACATAGGACAGGAAACATACATATAAAAGATAGTATATATTTTAATGTATTTGTATCCCGCCTTTGTTTCTTTTACAAGTAACTTAATGTGAAGAGCATACCTTCCTCCTCCTATTTTTCCCATAACAACTTTGAGCTAGGCTGAGAGAGAGAGAGAGAGAGAGAGAGAGACTGACTGGTATGCCTAACCTATGAATATAACGGGGTCACCAGAAACTACCAGAGACTGGTGTTCTCTCAAGTATCCTGGCTCCATGATATGTACTGCTTTATTGATGATATCGAGGACCTTGACTTGCAGCCAGAAACCTACTGGAAGCCATTGCTTACTGTGGTATACGTTGCTTATGAAGCAGTGATGTTACATGAATATACCATTGTGTATCCAAAACTGTTCATACGGTTACATTCTGGATCAGCTGGAGTTTCTGAATGTTCTTCTTGTAACCAAGAAGTTCTCCAGACTGTGTGCCAAGTAGGTCCAGAAAAACAATACCCTATCCAAAAGGATTTTTCTGTGACACTGGTCTATCAGGGCAACCTGGTCTACCCAAATATGGGACGGAGCAAACTGCTTCCACTTCATCCAAAAATTAACGATGAAAGCTTTCCAAATATGGGAGTGGAAACCTATGAACTTACAGCCACTTGTAGTTAGAGGGGTGGAATCAGAGCCTGTTCTTTCACTTTCAGATCCAAAAGGTACTCATCTCGAGTTGGTAATTTTTTTTACTTAAATGAGCTAGGTGAAAAAATTATTGTCTATTGTCTAGGATTGTTTCCTTTTCAGGAGATTGGTGTTCTAACTGTTTTTTATTTGTTCTGTAAATTAGGTCTCTTATTCACTGTAAATATTTTCCGCACCTTGTAAAGCAACATTTTGAAGAGCCACGAGTTGATCCACTTCCTGAGAAGATGAGAGAATCAGTGGTAGGCTTTCTTTTGGGGGGGGGGAAAGTGTTATTAAGACCTTTGTGATGGTATCATTTGAGCCAGTGGTGGGATTCAATTTTTTTTTTACTACCGGTTCTGTGGGCGTGGGTTGGTGGGTGTGGCTTGGTGGGTGTGGCGTGGCTTGGTGGGGATGGTGTGACTTGGTGGGTGTGGCTTGGTAGGTATGGTGTGACTTGGTGGGCGTGGCCTGGTGGGCATGACAGGGGTAGGATACTGCAAAACCCCTATTCCCTCCCCATCCCACTAACCTGCTTTCCAGCTCCATTCTCCTGTGCAGGGCAACAAAAGAAGACCCAGCCAATCAGCTGGGACTCGGGAGGCAGAGAGTAGATGGGGGTGGGGCCAGTCAGAGGTGGTATTTGCCGGTTCTCTGAACTACTCAAAATTTCCACTACTGGTTCTCCAGAACTGGTCAGAACCCGCTGAATACCACCTCTGGTTTGAGCTATTGTATGATGTTATATGAAATTGCTTAAATCTCTTTACAGTAGAACTGTAAACTGGTCCAGATGGATTCTTTGTCGAATGGCAGAAGAAGGACAATTTCAGGGACATGTTACACTTCTTCCTTTTTTTCAGCTTTACCCCTCTCCACCCCACCCACTCCAGCTTATATAAAAAGTAACTGGCATTCTTTAATGTTGAAAGGTGCTTCCTATTTATTTTTTTATTCCCCAAAGCTGTACACCATACTTTTTTTTTTTTGCTTTGGACCCAGAATTATCTAGCAACTACATGAATAAACCCTTACAATTTTCTAGGCAGCATTTTCAGAAATGGTTTGCCATCGCCTTGAAAAGGACCGACAGCCTCAGAATCAGTGAGATGAGTTTCATGCCAAGGCAGGACTACAATTCAGATTTTGCTGCACCAAGTCCAGTATCTTAATCACTCCATTGAAGAGGCTCCCATACGGCTCAACAGGCTCAACTAATAATAATAAATTCAGCTGCGATACGAAAATGCCTCTGAGGGCATCCCAATGTAAACTTAGGCATCCATTCCCTTTATTTAAAGGGAAAAGTTTTCAGCATTTACCTCACAGCTGGGAGAGAAAAGACTAGAGACAGTCCTAGGAATTGTGGCTTAGTGCTATGCTTCTTGGCCTGCAGCTTTGAACCATCTTTTTTTTTTTTTGCTTTGAATTGAAAGTGTTATACAGCTCTAGCAAAGACAGATTAATCCTTTCCCTCTATATTGCTTGCACTGAGTTGTTCTTCCAGACATATTAGTGATTTGTTAGGAAATTTTGGAAAGTAGGTATAAAGACACATAGTTTTATTTGTATTGAAGAGGGACAATAACTTAGTTCCTTCCCATTCGGGAAAGAAACTTTTGAGACATTTGCTATGTAGAAAGTTTAGGATCAATGGGGAGAACTGTCTACTCTGTATCCATATTCACCAAGGAAAATAGGTGTCATTGGCAAAGTGTTTACACATATAAGAAATTACAAACAGCGCCTGTTGCCTGCCTGCCTGCCTGCCTGCCTGCATGCATGCTTTCCTTCCTTCCTTCCTTCCTTCCTTCCTTCCTTCCTTCCTTCCTTC